ATGATTAATGTAAATCTAAATGTACGTGCACATAGTCTACGTGCACATTGCATGTGCATTGCATGCACATTGCATGCATTATATATATATCTAGTGCTTTGTAATAATGATGATGTTAGAAATTTGACTAGTGTTCTTGGTTCTTGGCTGTGATTCTAACATGTCTGTAAACCCCCACATCTATTATGTTTGATCATGTAAACATCAGACTGCTAAGGCAGGGAAGCATAGTGCTGCAATACTTCATTAGTGCTGGTGATTGAGTGGCCATTATGGCTTTGATTGGTGACTGTCAGAAATGATCTAGGTGAGTGTGTCTGAAATACATGGCTGAAAAATCTTCACTCCTTCACTCCTTCACTCCTTCACTCACTCACTCACTATCTCACTCACGCTGATATAGTCCCTGGTGTATATACTCCAGTAACTACCAGGCCGCGAGGCTGTATTGTGTGTGTTGAGCCCCATTCATTCAGTCAGCTGTGTGGGGGATGTAAACATGGCCTTGAAGTGAACACATTGGAGCAGCTCCTCACAGTGAAAGAGTGCACTAACACAGGAGAGATATGCTGGGCGGGGCACTCAAGTAAACAAATTTGCATGGCTCCCCATTGCCTTAGTAACCACTGTGTTTTCAGGTGTGAATCAGGTTTGCAAGTGAACTTGGCAAACTTATTGCTATGTGATGAGGGAAAAAGGGGTCAGTCGTCCATATGTCCTTCCATTTGTCAAACCCTGACAAGCAGAGCAATAAGCTTGATAAGGAACCTAGGAGATACTGCTCTGATATTTGGAGGAAGTCTTAATTAGAAAACACATCAAGCCTGCCAATGTCATGTTGCCATTTATATTCACAGGATTAAAGTAAAGTAGGTCTTTGAATCAGTTGAGGGTTAAGTCTATTTTTGGAGCATATCTCAAAACCAGTCAATATTACTTTATGTCATTTTGCCATGACCTGGGGTGATGTGTCATCACTTGCTCATGTTGATGATCGCAGTTAGTTTCCTCCATTATCATGATTATGCTTCCTCTAGACCTGTAAGACAGTACAAAGGTTCACTGCTGACGTACTGTCAAGGCAGAAACGGTGGGGATAGAATACTTCCTGCTTGCTTTATCATGTGCAGGATTTTATGCGATGCACAAATGTAGAGAGTACAGTACACTACACCATTTCATTACTTTACAGGCCCCTCATATTGCCTGCAAGGGCCCTTAAAATTAATTATTTGGGGTCCCTGGATCCCAGGTTTTGTAAGTCAAGGTAAAACCCTGCGTGTGTATTTCACGTGTATGGAATGTAAATATTTTCATCAGTTGTTTACAAACTACTGAACCCTCTGAAGATGTTTATACAGTTTGCCATGTGGTAAGCATTCTAGACAGGTAGTCACATGGGGTAGATACATCCCAGTCACTCCATCAGCTGTCAGTGAGGGAGCTAGGAAGCATCAGGTCGAGTCTCCATATCAACATATGTTCTACCGTTACAGCACATGCACACATCATGGTTGCCACTTTTAGTGGAAAAAAAAGGGCAAATGTTGCACCACAAACTGTTAGATCCACATGTCTCGGCTTCTCTTTGACCAGTGATGGTTAGCGAGGGACTGAGAGTATTGCTTCAGGTGGCAACACAGTTGCAAAGGATCGGTGAGGCAGGTAGTTTGAAGGTGTGGATCTAATACATACAAGGCAGGTAGTTTGAAGGTGTGGATCTATTACATGTAATGGCTTGAGGATATGGTTATAAAGTCATATGGTCATGATGAAGAATGGCTTGTGATAGTCATATGGTCACTGACAGGCTATAAAGTCATATTGCCACTCTTCAGGATGGGTATAAAGTCAAATTGTTTCCCTGCAGAATGGGTATAAACTCATATGGTCATGCCACCCCTGCAGATCTGGGGTAGTATAGGTCTTCAGCAATCCATGCTTGCCGAAAAGGTGACTGCTTGTCGTAACAGGCCACTAATGAGATCAGGTGGTCAGGCTCGCTGACTTGGTAGATGCATGTCATTGTATCCCAATTGCGTAGATCAATGCTCATGATATCAATCACTGCATTGTCTGGCCCAGACTTGATTATTTATATATCGCTGTCATATAGCTAGAATAAAAAACGGCAAGAAGTGATATTAACTAAGTGATAATTGCCTTGACAATGTGGAATTAACGTAAAAAGGACGTCAACAGTTTGTGTACCGGCTAGACACGTACAATAAAGGGAGACAATTTGAGGGAGGTAACTCTTGTATGACAGTATTTCTGACAAAGTGTTATGGTCACTGTAGTGAAATATCAAGTGTATTTCACTGCAATAAAAATATCTCTTTTCTCAAATTCAGAAAGCTCAGTCTTTGACACTGAAATATAATAAGAAAGTGATATCGTCATTCTGCAGAATGACTGTGCCTATTAAGTCAAATGGCCATGCTGCAGAATGATGATAAACACCAAGACCTCTCTGGAGAGACAATGAAGTCTCTTTTCATCAAACAGTGGATGATGACAAGTGTTGCTCTAAGCAACACACAATATAGATTGTCTGAATTTAAAGAGGAACTCCAAGAAATCAACAACCAGTTTGAAATGGAATACCATCTTGCCAAACACATGTTTATATCATCTTTTGAAATGGCAAATAAGGAAAGTTACATATTCTCATTCCCTTTTATCATGTTTTAGAGATAAAGCATGTTTGGAAAGAACGTGAAATTCTATACCTTCTGGTTTCACTACTTACTTGTCACACAACATCGCTGTGGATTGATTGTATTTCCCCATTGGTTGTTGAGTCTCTAAGTTACAGATAAACATGCCTTGTGTAGTGGGTTATGTGGCAGTAGATATGTTGTAAGTTAGATCAGGTGATTGTTGGTTGCTGCAGATTGAATCACTTGTAAATTATAGTGACGCCCCTTAGCCATGTTAGCTGTTTGCAGTCCAAGTTCCATCCCACTGCTTGACAACTTCATGACTCTCCAAGGATAGAGAGCTATGACTGTGACACATTTTGGATAGTAAAGAGTGGTAGTGATGGTAGTGTCACAGTATTAATCATTATGTTATCATCTTAATGTGTGACTGTGGTAATGGTGGTAGTATCCTAACACCTTCAAACCTAGTACCTTGTACCTTTCGACCGCCTCCGTGGTCTAGTGGTAGAGCGTCCGCCCAGAGAGCGGAAGGCCCGGGGTTCAATCCCCGGCCACGTCATACCAAAATACGTTAAAAGATGGTACTTGTTGTTACCCTGTCTGGTGCTCAGCATTAAGGGGCTAAAACAAGGACTGGTCGGCTCGGAGTCAGTATACTGTGTCTGAGTGGGGTATTCATGTTTACTTGCGGCATGGTATCTTAGTGTGCTAGCACTATAAATCGTCATTAGTCAGGACTAGTACAAGCAGCCACACACACACAGACACACGTGCATGCATGTCGCTATATAAGTGCAATAATCTTGGACGCGACATTAAACCCAATTTCACCTCAACTCACCTTGTACCTTTCAAATGACATTTCACAATTTGGCAGTCTGCCTCTTTAGCCACAAGTCCTTGCCCACAGCCCGTATGATGTGTTATAGTGCTCTTAAGCTGATCTAATAACCATGTTAACAATCCATATGTCAGTCTTACATCTCCAGAACGTTATGCCAAGGACTTTCAATTAGACAAGTAAACTGAAAAGCTTTTGGCACAGACTGTTATGGTAACCCTCCCGATACTTTCTACCACATGTTTAATGGGTTTTGTGAACAGAAATAAAATTCCTCGCTGCTATTTCATTGCTGAAACAGAAAACTTTGAAGTTTATCTTTTTCCCCTCTATATCTGTTAATTGTGTGAACACAGGCTTTGAGCTCATGCTATTATATTATCATGATTATCATTCAGGCTCAACCACTGGAAGTTAATTGGATCAGGATTGTTTGAGACACACTGTCTCTATAAATACCAAGACTACCCAATCAGTTGTTGGAAACACTGCTTATATTTGCAGCTTCATATTTACTGTCCGATTGATTGCGTCCATAATTAAGTCAGATTTGTTGTTCAAACACACAACCTGAATTAGATATGAGCTGCAGTTTTCAGTATTGAGCAGGACAACACATAACAAAGCTCACGACATCCAACCATTACCAGGAGGGGCCTGATGGGACTTCAGTATTGTTAGTTCCGTATCAACTGATTTTGTTTGCCATATGTTGAGTTTATTTGTTTAGTTCTAATGAGTGAGAACCAGAATGGATTCCACATTATAAAACTCAGCAGCAGAGCTGATGAGCAGGTTTATTTGCTTGTTTTCCTGAGATGAAGTCACAGTTGTATCAGACATTTACAAATACGTGATCTGTGTACGGGATTCAGAGACATGTTGTTGATGAGGCTTGCACATGGGCAGAATGTCCATTTCACCAAAAACATAAACTAAGATACTGCTGAACAGTAATAACGTTATATGTTTTTTTAAATTAACTTTTGATGTAGAGTTGATTTATCTGCAGTCAACTATAATGCTGTACATGTTTGTTAATTGTACTGCGGGGGCATGGGTGGCCCAGTCGTCTAAGGCGCCACGATTTGCTGTGCAGAGTTGCGTCACTTGGGGACGCCAGAAAACTATGATTGTGGGTTCGAATCCTGGTTCGCCCCGATTATGTTTCTAGGTTTGTCAGCACCATACCCGTGCTCGTGGGTTTCACCGAAGTGGTAAACGTTTGAGACCTGCATCACTTTGGGCTTTCCTCCCACATCAAGCTGACACGCCACGATATAACTGGAATACTGTTAAAAGCGTTGTTCAACCCAACTCACTCACTCACTCACTTACTAATTGTACTGTGATGTAAAGATTATCTCACATGTCTGTCCGTGGTACTTTGATGTAGAGTTGATCTCATATGTCTCTCCCTCATGCTTCGATGTAGTGTTGATCCAGCACTGTACAACAGAGTTGATCTCACATGTCTGTCGGTTGTGCTTCAGATCTGGCTGCTGTTGTTCATCCTCCTCTATGTCAGCTCTTACGCCTCCATCTGCCAAATCCGCAAGCGAGCTGACTCTGAGGACATGTATGCAGGTATGATCACATCGGTATCAACACACATCTCAGCCATTATCAGTTATTCACCACTGTAACTCTATACTTGCAATGTAAAATGTCCGTGTTCATCCATGTTTGATTTGCTTAACTAATTAAGCCTCACAATAAATGTTTCTATTACATGATCATGATGATAATGAATATCCGATAAAATTTAACATGCTTTATCATGTTTATGGAAATTGGAATTAATCAGGGACATTGTCTTGATTCCTTGATTGTTATCTCCTAACATGAGGATTCCATGACACAATGACAGTTGGTTTATGTTCCAGGTGATGAGGATGCACTGGTGTACCGGATAGCGTAAGTGTCTCTATTTATTTACCGCAGTAACCATGGCTACAAGAATAACAAGTTTATGTGTCACATGATAAGCTATTGATGTGTTCAGGAATACAATGTAACTTTTATCGTTACGCCGGGGACCAATTTTCAATAACAGCTTCCGTTCAGGAAGAAATCTAGTGTGGGAGAATTATGTCATTTATATAAATGAAATTCAGTGTGGAAGATGAAACTGGACTTTAATCCCCACTCCAGAGTGTCTTCTCCAAACTGTTGTGATGGGAATGTTTATTACTGATGAACATTTTGTCCTGCAGGTTGTGGTTGTGTACATTTACACTTTCTGTGTCGGCGGGGGCTGTGCTGCTTCTGCCGGTCTCTATCATCAGCAACGAGGTGCTCCATCTCTACCCCAAGAGCTACTATGTCAAGTGGCTTAACGCCTCTCTGGTTCAGGGTAGGTAACTCTGTTTTACCATCAGTATCAAGGCGTTCTACCACTGCTCCAAGTGCCACTATGTCAAGTGGCTTAACATGTCTCTGGTCCAGACTTGATAATCTTCAGACAGCCGTCATATAGCTGGAATATTGCTGAGTGTGGCATTTAACTACAAACAAAACAGAAAATAACCTGTCAAGTGGCTAACCTCTCTCTGGTTCAGGGTAGGTAACTCTGTTACATGGCCACCATCAGTAACGAGGTTCTACACCTCTACCCCAAGAGCTACTAAGAACTATTGTGTCAAGTGGCTAACCTCTCTCTGGTTCAGGGTAGGTAACTGTTACATGGCCACCATCAGTAACGAGGTGCTACACCTCTACCCCAAGAGCTACTAAGAACTATTGTGTCAAGTAGCTAACCTCGCTCTGGTTCAGTGTAGGTAACTCTGTTTTGCCATCAGTAACGAGGCGCTTTACCTCTACCCCAAGAGCTGCTAAATATCAAGTGGCTTATCACCTCTCTGGTTCAGGGTAGGTAACTCTGTTTTGCAATCAGTAACGAGGTGCTTTACCTCTACCCCAAGAGCTGCTAAATATCAAGTGGCTTATCACCTCTCTGGTTCAGTGTAGGTAACTCTGTTTTGCCATCAGTAACGAGGCGCTTTACCTCTACCCCAAGAGCTGCTAAATATCAAGTGGCTTATCACCTCTCTGGTTCAGGGTAGGTAACTCTGTTTTGCAATCAGTAACGAGGTGCTTTACCTCTACCCCAAGAGCTGCTAAATATCAAGTGGCTTATCACCTCTCTGGTTCAGGGTAGGTAACTCTGTTTTGCCATCAGTAACAAGGAGCTTTACCTCTGCCCCAAGAGCTGCTAAATATCAAGTGGCTTATCACCTCTCTGGTTTAGGGTGGGTAACTCTGTTCAGCCCTCATGATCAGTGAGATGGTTCTCCGTACCAAAAGAACTGGGTTTTTAGTGTGCAGCATTTGTAATTATCATGATTTTATCTGCAGAATTTTTTTGTTTTGCAGGTCTATGGAATCACATCTTTGGGTTTTCCAACTTAGCACTCTTTATCCTCATGCCCTTTGCATACTTCTTCACAGAGGCCGAGGGGTTCTCAGGGTCCAAGAGGGTATGTCCAGTTGATACTTGCTTACAATGGAAGGTGACAATGAGGAATGGTTCTGTATATAGCCATAGATAAGCCAATCTCATAGTTAAGCCGAGGTATTAACATGATTAACTTGATCCTTGAAATCTGTATCAAAATGTTATGTCCGTCAGTGTTTGAAATATATTTAAAACCCAAGAAGACTGGGGCAGGTGACCCATAAGTGTTGCTTCCCATTTTCAAATTTACCTGCCCCCATTTAGACGTTATAAATATTTTAAAATAAGACACTGATGTCTTGTGCATTAGCCGGATCACCAACCTAAGACTTCATCTCCTTGTGATGATCTGCCTTCTAAAGTAGAATATCAACTAATCTGTATTGAATTACGCAAGTTAATCCCGTCATTGCACTATCTGGTAATAAAAGTGTTTATTGTGTAAAAAAGTGTTCATTGTATATCTGGACTTATGTTTGTAATCTATTTTATTAATTTAATCAAAATTTCATTCAACGATGTTAACATTAATTTAGGCGAAATCATGTGTCCCTCCAATACTTACAACTTCTGTTCACCCTTGTTCCACAGGGTCTGCTTTACTGCATACCGTGACACCACAAACTCACATTATTCACCGCAACCATGATCATATTACCGTCTTGAAATTAACCTTAGCTGACAGAGAATGGATACATATATCATAACTGCCATACTTTGACTCATAAGCAGTCATATGTGTTGTTGTTTGACTATTATATAATCAACATATTGCTTTTGCGATGGAAAAAGCTTGATTGCGTGAAACCTCAACAGTCAAATTGTTCCATACATAAAGAGTATCTGACAATATGCCAAAGTACCACCGCACAATCTTGGTTATTGTTGTTATTATTTTAAATATATATCGTAAAACCTGCAATTAAACTACCACGATATTAGAATATATTATTCCTGGTGAAGTAATAGTTTCAGGTACTATTTTGCCCAAAATTATAACGAATATATTTACCATGTTGTTGCAGGGTAGTAAGAGTATATGTACCATGTCTAAGGGAACAAAGAACATATGTACCTTGTTGTTGCAGGGTAGTAAGAGTATATGTACCATGTCTAAGGGAACAAAGAACATATGTACCTTGTTGTTGCAGGGTAGTAAGAGTATATGTACCATGTCTAAGGGAACAAAGAACATATGTACCTTGTTGTTGCAGGGTAGTAAGAGTATATGTACCATGTCTAAGGGAACAAAGAACATATATACCTTGTTGTTGCAGGGTAGTAAGAGTATATGTACCATGTCTAAGGGAACAAAGAACATATGTACCTTGTTGTTGCAGGGTAGTAAGAGTATGTGTACCATGTCTAAGGGAACAAAGAACATATGTACCTTGTTGTTGCAGGGCAGTAAGAGTATGTGTACCATGTCTAAGGGAACAAAGAACATATGTACCTTGTTGTTGCAGGGTAGTAAGAGTATGTGTACCATGTCTAAGGGAACAAAGAACATATGTACCTTGTTGTTGCAGGGTAGTAAGAGTATGTGTACCATGTCTAAGGGAACAAAGAACATATGTACCTTGTTATTGCAGGGTAGTAAGAGTATGTGTACCATGTCTAAAGGAACAAAGAACATATGTACCTTGTTGTTGCAGGGTAGTAAGAGTATATGTACCATGTTGCAGTAAAAAAAAAAAGAGGCTATGTACCTTGTTGTTGCAGGGTGTAATGAGTACCTATACCCTGTTGTTGCAGGGTGTAATGAGTACCTAAACCCTGTTGTTGCAGGGTCTAATGAGTACCTATACCCTGTTGTTGCAGGGTGTAATGAGTACCTATACCCTGTTGTTGCAGGGTGTAATGAGTACCTATACCCTGTTTTAGCAGGGTGTAATGAGTACCTATACCCTGTTGTTGCAGGGTGTAATGAGTACCTATACCCTGTTGTTGCAGGGTGTAATGAGTACCTATACCCTGTTGTTGCAGTGTGTAATGAGTACCTATACCCTGTTGTTGCAGGGTGTAATGAGTACCTATACCCTGTTGTTGCAGGGTGTAATGAGTACCTATACCCTGTTGTTGCAGGGTGTAATGAGTACCCATACCCTGTTTTAGCAGGGTGTAATGTAATTCCCATACCCTGTTGTTGCAGGGTGTAATGAGTACCTATACCCTGTTGTTGCAGGGTGTAATGAGTACCCATACCCTGTTGTTGCAGGGTGTAATGTAATTCCCATACCCTGTTGTTGCAGTGTGTAATGAGTACCTAAACCCTGTTGTTGCAGGGTGTAATGAGTACCCATACCCTGTTTTAGCAGGGTGTAATGAGTACCTATACCCTGTTGTTGCAGGGTCTAATGAGTACCTATACCCTGTTGTTGCAGGGTGTAATGAGTACCCATACCCTGTTGTTGCAGGGTGTAATGAGTACCTATACCCTGTTGTTGCAGGGTGTAATGAGTACCCATACCCTGTTGTTGCAGGGTGTAATGAGTACCTATACCCTGTTGTTGCAGGGTGTAATGAGTACCTATACCCTGTTGTTGCAGGATGTAATGAGTACCTATACCATGTTGTTGCAGGGTGTAATGAGTACCTATACCCTGTTGCAGGGTGTAATGAGTACCTGTACCCTGTTGTTGCAGGGTGTAATGAGTACCTATACCATGTTGTTGCAGGGTATTATGGGCCGTGTGAAGGAGGCGCTAGCTGTGCTGTGTCTGCTTGGCATCATGGTGCTGGGGCTTGCCTGGGTTGCCAATGCTCTCATCAACGATGATGAACACAGCAAACAAACACTATTTGGTAACTGCATTTTACATGGTTTAGTTCCTCCAAAATGTTATTTACTAATAAAGTTCCATGTATGTTTCTGTAAACATAAAGGAAATAATGTTTCTAAATTTTTGAATTCATACTTTTCTTTTCTCCTATGTAACTAATAACAATGTTCCAGGTGAAGTGATTTCATGACCTGAGATGATTGTTTCAGATGTGTGGCACATCCACCTACCATACCTCTACTCCTGCATCTCCTTCATCGGAGTCCTCATCCTGCTATGTGAGTACTCTCATCAACAACCCCACCCCAACACCCCAACACCAACACCCACCTCCACCCCCACCCCCACCCCCACCCCCACCCTGTACCCAACATCCACCCCAACACCCACCTCCATCCCCACCCCCACCTCCACTCCGACCCCCACTCCCACCCCAACACCCCCACTCCCACCCCAACACCCACACCCATACACACACCAAGACACACACACACACCAAGACCCCCCCCCCTAACACAAACACTAACCCCCCCCCCCCCCCCCCACACACACACACACACACACACACACACATCCTGCTATGTGAGTACTCTCATCAACAACCCCACCCCAACACCCCAACACCCCAACACCAACACCCACCCCCACCCCCACCCCCACCCCGTACCCAACATTCACCCCAACACCCATCTCCATCCCCAGCCCCACCTCAACCCCAACACCCCCACTCCCACCCCAACACCCACACCCATACACACACCAAGACCCACACACACACCAAGACCCCCACACACACCCTAACACCAACACTAACCCCCCCCCCCCCCCCCCCCCCCCCACACACACACACACACACACATCCTGCTATGTGAGTACTCTCATCAACAACCCCACCCCAACACCCCAACACCCCAACACCAACACCCACCTCCACCCCCACCCCCACCCTGTACCCAACATTCACCCCAACACCCATCTCCATCCCCAGCCATACCTCAACCCCAACACCCCCACCCCACCCCAGCACCCACCTCCACTACCCCCACTACCACCCCAACACCCACACCCACACACACACCAAGACCCACACACACACCCTAACACCAACACCAACCCCCCCACACACAGCCACACTAACATCCACACCCAACCCAACACCCACACCCCTCCCCACACCAACACCCACCCACACACACAACCCAACGTTCTTGTCACCATTGTTTACATAACTCTGTGTGTGCAGCACTAGTAACCCAGTTCTAGAGCATCTAATCTGGGCAATGATTAAGTCCTACATCTAGCATTGATAGCAGCCATGTTATCACAGGTCATGTCTTGATATTATGATAACATAGTGATAATAAAAAATGTGATGCAATATGAATGGAGTTTCTACCTGACACTCCCATATGTCACTAGTCCTGTCACGTATGAAGGGCGGTGGGGTAGCCTGGTGGTTAAAGTGCCCGCTCCTCACGCCGAAGACCTTGGTTCGATTCCCCACATGGGTAAAATATGTGAAGCCCATTAGTGGTGTTCCCCGCCGTGATTTCGCTGGATTATTGCTAATAGCGACATAAAACCTCACTCACTCACTCACTCACTCACTCACTCACTCACTCACCCACCCACCCACCCACTCACTCACTCACTGTTAGGTATGAACTTCTCCAAAACCCCAATGTCAGAAAACATACCTGACTTGGAAGCATTATAATAATTATATCGCTGCACATGGATTATAAAAGACTCTTAAGGTTGGATGCTCCTTTAAATGAAAACTTAGTCTGAATACCCCATGCTTGAATACCCCATGCTTGGAACTAGTTTTCAAATGTTAGTAATAATAGGTGATAACCAAGTGTTATGACCTGTCTTATACAGTGTTATGGGCCAAATGGATATCAATTGAAACAGATACTGACAGCTGCCAGTGTTGACAGTGTTTTCAGAGTTTATTTGTATCTGTTAAGATCACTTTGTAAATGCGGTCATCTAACTGTAACTTTGCTTAATGATGAAAAAGTGTTATCTATCATGACCCAAGTCACTCCCTCCACAGGGAGATAACATCCGTATTCACACTCTGGGGCATTGCCATGATTGCCATCACAAGCTATAGGTCATACTGCACTCTATGCATGGTATGAATCACTGCTTATACAGATGTATTGTGCAACAGTGTAGCCAATTGTAGATAAACTTAGCTGTATCTGCTAAGTAGTTTTAGTAATCAGCTGTAATGGCAAATAAACACTTGGGTAGATTGATCTAAATAGAACTATTCTATCAAATATGAAGGTGTTGTGTTGGTGAGAAGGGGAATATTGACAAAAGGTCTTCACTCAGTGATAGTGTCTGTTGACTTTAGGTTAGATTCAAGTCAGATGTTAGACATGCTAATCACATGGCATTTAATATTTCAGGGTTTTACCAAACACTATATTGCATCATATATGCATACAAATTGAGAATAGGCTCAAACAGTATAAACTGGAAGTTCTGGGGGATTCAAAAAGGTATAGTATTAAAACTATTAAATATTGCAGATTGCATGATACACTCAAGTCCAGAGTGGCAGTCAGTAGTTGTCTTCATTCAGTCTTACTTTGATATCCCAATCAATCATCGGCTTCTGAGCATGTGCAATAATAATAGGAGACAGAAATGACTGCCTTTGGTCATATATAATATAGCTGTATATTAGTCAGATCCAGTGCATGTATACAAATATGTGGAGGTGCCTGTCACTAGTGACTATGTCCACAAGATCTGAACTATGACACACATCTCGAAGTAGTTCATCTGCCCCTGTACTTCCAGCTACTACTTAATCCAGTGTTAATTTATGGCTCTCTTACCATGTTATTATTAGATGTGTTGCTGGACCGTGTGTTGATGTAAGCATGTGTTCCCTGTTGGCAGTGTGTACTCCCGTCGGCATATCCCGAATGTTTACCGTCATGGGCCAGCTGATTGTCAAACCTAAGGTATGTACAGTTCCATGACATGTTGAATAGGGGACATTGTGTAGCCTTGTGATTAAAGTCTTGTCTTTCAAAAGAAAAGGGGATTCATTCACATATGGATGCCAACACAATGTGTATATACATGCACAAGGCATGCTCACTAACTCACTCACTTGCTCAAATCACAACCACCAGTTTGTTGTGTGCTTGAGGTGACAGAGGGAAGCAAGGCGCCATAGATTTTGGTTCCTCATGTACCCAGCTTATGTCTCTTGTTTTATTTCAGTTTTTACGAAACATTGAAGTTGAACTTCACACAGTTACTCTTGAAGAGGAAAATCTTCTCCGTAAAATCAAATCTCAAAACCACCACCATAGTAAGTATACATGTGTATGTAGAGTCAGGGTTTTAATATCGTCCAATCAAGGATTCACTGCTCATAACATGTCACACTGAAAACTGTTTCTAGGACAATTGGCCTGATGAGATGAGACTAATATTTGACCAATTATCATATTGCTCATAGGGGTATGGATATCAAAGAAATTATGGAATTGTTTACATGATTTAGTTTGTTGACAAATTAGCTACAATTATTACATTGTATTCTTGTTGCCATAGCAACATGACATCATTACACTATTACAATACAATAATTGAAGATGACATCTGCCTGACGGTCATTGATTGAGTGGCTTTGTTCAATCAACAGGTCAGCAGTTTCTCTTGTTTCTTTGACAGCCGGGGCGGTGGGGTAGCCTAGTGGTTAAAGTGTTCACTTGTCACGCCAAAGACCCGGGTTCGATTCCCCACATGGGTACAACGTGTGAAGCCCATTTCTGGTGTTCCCTGCCGTGATATTGGTGGAATATTGTTAAAAGCGGCCTAAAACAATACTCACTCACTCACAGACAGCCAAGGCGTAGTGCTTACCGCCATATAATAACTTGTGACGGATTACCCTTAATTATGGTAGCCGTTTTGTTACTTTGTCACTGTTGGATGCTGCTGAATGTGATGCCTTACTGTTGTGCTGATGTGGTGATGTTGGTGTGTAGGTAGCAGCCCTGTCTCCAATGGTCATGCAAATGGTGAAACTCTCCACCAGAGGTTACAGGAGACACAGATAGAGAGAGAGAAGCTAGGTATGTATGTTGCACACAGCAAGGCTCTGAAGCCTGAGGGCAGTCGGGTAGCCTAGTGGTTAAAGCGTTCGCTCGTCACGCCGAAGACCCAGGTTTGATTCCCGACATGGGTACAATATGTGAAGCCCATTTCTGGTGTCCCCCGCCGTGATATTGCTGGAATATTGCTAAAAGCGGCGTAAAACCATACTCACTCACTCACTCTGAAGCCTGAGGAGGGTGCATACCTGAAACTGTTGCAGTGCTAAGGAAGAAAAGAAGTGTGCAGTCTGACCCCTTCTATGTTTGTGTACATGGGTGTACCAACTTCCACTATGACATTTTAAAATCCTTCATCACCAAATCCTGACCGGGATGCAGATTATGAAACTGATGCTCTGAAGTTTCTGGCATATGTTAGTGGCACAGTGGGAACCAGGAACAGGTCACCAGCACTCTGTTGTTTACTGTCTGTGGCTACTGATTAGGATATCATTGTACCCAGACCGCAGTGACATTGCTCATAATATCAACCACTGGTTTGTCTGGCCTGGCCTTGGTTGCCTACAATTTTGTGTTTTCTTTTTTGCAGTAGCGACGTATTGATGTAGATTATTACACTGTTCTCAAGCTTGCGAATCTACATCGAAACGTCGCTAATACAATAAACCAGAAGTTGTTATCCATTAATTTGTACATTTTCTTACTTACCAACTTGTAGAATGTCAATCACAATCAAACAGCCAGCCTTAGTTATATACTTTCCTTCTGCAGTGATATAGCTGGAATACTGCTGACTGCAACGTAAGATAAAAAACAACAAATCACGTTTTGATAATCCAGCGTAAACAGGGGCACGGGTGGCCCAGTCGTCTAAGGCGCTGCAATTCGCTGTGCAGAGTTGCGTCCCTTGGGCGCGCCAGAAACCTATGATTGTGGGTTTGAATCCTGGTTCGCCCCGATTATGTTTCTAGGTTTGTTAGCACCATACCTGTGCTCGTGGGTTTCACCGAAGTGGTAAACGTCTGAGACCTGCATCACTTCGGGCTTTCCTCCCACACGCCGTGATATAACTGGAAAACTGTTAAAAGCGGCGTTAAACCCAACTCACTCACTCACTCCAGCGTAAACACGCCTCATGCGGATGTACATACTGAGATATGATTGTTACACTGTAGCGTTTCCTACACTGGTATGATAACTGTTGTTTGTTGTGATGTTGCAGAGAAGCGGCAGCAGGTATCGTCCCTGCGGAGGAACCTGGTGTACCCCCTGGTGATGCTGCTTCTGCTCACACTCACAGTCAGTATACCTCCCCGTCCTCATTGCCACTTCAGCATCTGTGGCTGCTATTGATTTCATGCTTAAGTCATCAATGTTGCCAAACATTTCTTATCATAGTGCTTGTAGGATTGAATGTTTTCTTTCCAATTTGCCATTTGTCATGAGATGGTTGATTGGTACCATTCCTTATTTTGAAGAAATAATGATCTGTGTATCTGTAAGTTCTTGTACTGGTCAGTGTTGAAATTAAGAATAAAGTCAAGGAGTCTTTGTCACAACACTAAGGGATGCCTCCAGAGTTCACTGTTGATCGCTCTTAGCTTGATAGCTTTTACCACCTGCTCCATCCTGCTGATGCAGTGAATTGTTCTGTTTAGTGTTTAGTGACAATGTTAATTCACAATTGATAACAATACCTTGTTTTTAGGTTGGAAAATATTGTTTGTATATTTTGAAAGAAATTTATTATTTCATTTATCAAAGTTGAAGTTCATGAAATCATGAAAACATTTTAATGTTCTTTTCAAATGCAAAATCAAATAAAATTTGTCGAAAAAGATTTAGGAGATAAACATACTTTGTTTTCAATGTAGAGCTAGGTTACCTGTAGATGTAACCCCGCTAAATTGAATTTGGAACCGAACGCGCAGCGTGAGGTTACAAATGTTAAATTTAGCGCGGTTAAATCTCCAGGTAACCTAGCTCTACATTGAAAACACAGTATGTTTATCTCCATTCTACCATGACTAAATAAAACGCGAACTCTTTGGTGTTAGCAAATATACTGAGTGAAGCGGCATGGGTTGAGTCCAGTGTTTTGAGAGGGCGCTGTATATATACTCAAGCAGTTTGTTTACACCGTAATACTTCACTCGAACATATGACAGGCACTGAAAGAATATAAGCACGGCAGCTTGATAAGCTAACATGAGGTGGGCATCCCTAAAGAAAACAAAGCAAGCTTTGCAAGGCTTTCGCTCTACATCACACGTCACAATTATGACGCTCATTGTGTCGCAAAAGATATGACGTCACAGTCGTATACAGAAAAGCGCCAAAATTCCAAGCTCTCTGTTGTCTCCAAAACGTAAATACATTCCCTTTGTAGATTTCTATCGTGTTTTCTGCACGAAATGTATTGCCACACTTCCTTTGAATATTGTAGTAACTGCATCTGTGCATTTTGTAACCTGTAATTGTAGATATAATTATTTATATATGCCTACCGACAATGACTGAAAATAGTACTATTCTATGAATATTAGCTTGCGCGGTGATGCGGCCGTCAAACCAGCTGTTTCAATCAGAGGGGGTTTATTGTGATTTAATAGCCTCTGACTGACCAATCAGAATCGAGTAGATTCCAAATTCATGGTAGAATAAAGATTAATGAGTCTCTTAACCATCCATCCATAATATTTAAGGGGGCCCTGGTGACCCAGTTGTCTGAGCCGCCAGGATTCGCTGTGCAGAGTTGCGTCCCTTGGGCACGCCAGAACCCTATGATTGTGGGTTCGAATCCTGGTTCACTCTGATTATGTTTCTAGGTTTGTCAGCACCATACCCGTGCTCGTGGGTTTCACCAAAGTGGTTAACGTCTGAGACCTGCATCACTTCGGGCTTTCCTCCCACATTAAGCTGACACGCCGCGATATAACTGGAATACTGTTAAAAAAAGCGGTGTTAAACCCAACTCACTCACTCAAAATATTTAAGAAATTATGTCTTGTGGTTGAATATGAACTTTTGTGATGACCCCTATTGTTGAAAATTAATAATTGGATTAAGATAACTACTTAGCAGAAAGGTTTTAAGGGCCCTAGGCCCCCTATTTTCAAACATTAAAGAATGAATGAAGCTGCTGTTATTTAGACCGTCATACAAACATGGTTAGTTTCCAGTCAAGCAGTATTGTTTACCTGACCTACACCGATGTTTCCTCCTGTTTCAGGTATTAAGTATTTTAATCGTTGCACACAACACAATGTTATTGCTAGTGGGGATCAAAGCTCTACCTATTGGGGCCAAGGTAAGACTTATTCTGTTTACAGTTTTCCTGTACCCTATGGTTGATCTCTCGTAAATGTCATTGCAAAGTTGAAATTCAAAAGTAGAGTAGGATAATATCATGAAGTGAGCATTGCATGTGTGTGTGTCTTTGATGTGGGCCAATGTTGATGACGTGTTTTGTCAAAGGCAGCCCCAAGTGTACTTCACATGATTGTCAGGGTTTTAACCTTGGCATTCAAAACTAGGGGTCCAGGGGACCAGCAAGAATAAGTTTCATTGGTCCTTACAGAAACTGAGGGGGTCTTGTAAAGTGGTCTGGTGGAAGAGCGTCCGCCCGGAGAGCGGAAGGTCCGGGGTTTGATCCCCGGCCACGTCATACCAAAAGACGTTAAAAGATGGTACTTGTTGTTACCCTGTCTGGTGCTCGGCATTAAGGGGATAAAACAAGGACTGGTCGGCTCGGAGTCAGTACACTGTGTCTGACTGGGGTATTCATGTTAAACTGCGGCATGGTATCTCACTGAGCTAGCACTATAAATCGGCATCACTCTGGACTAGTACAAGCAGCCACACAAACACACACACGTACATGCACGTCGCTATATTGGACGCAACGTTAAACCCCATTTCACCTCACCTGACCTGTAAAGCACTGAAATGGTATAGTGTACTGTTAGCAGGGATAGAAATTAACACTAGCCGTCAAGCCTGATGCAGTTTCACCAATGTTAATGGTTTCCTTAGGGCTGGTAGAAGTTCACACATTTTGGGGGATGTTGCTATGTTGTCACTATTTGGGCAAGTAGATTTTCTAGATCAATTTCTTTCCCTTGTAAGATTTGATAATTACTATAATAACAAGATGTTTGTATTTCTGATATGCAATGTTGTAGTTCTGATATAATGTCGGCCACAACACCATTTATTCACAGCCTCGTGTTTGTTCTATTCCAGGATACAGTGTTGGGATTGGCATCACTCTCAACATTTGGAACAGTTGGAGCCTTTTTAGAGATTGTTTTCATTTTGTATCCTTGCCCTCAGACATGTTCATTACACGGGTGATATTCATAAAAATCCCGCTGGTTTTAACATCATTAAAATGTATTCTTGTTCATGCAAAAGTATATTCATCAACATTGACCAATGATTGTTCTCCAATAATGGATATTGCACTGATATATAGTGAGTTTGCAAGATTGCCAGATAAACCTGAGACATATTCCAGGCAAAGTATATATTTTATAACTTATCCTGCGTCACTCCGTAATGCATTTACTGCCATTTTTTGACAGAAAAATGAAGCTGTGTGAGGTCCAGGTGAAAAAGAAGTTGTTCCAGCCTGTTGTAAGGCAGACCCCATCACACACCACCCACGTGACCACGGAAGTGATGACGTCACGTATCTGCACATTACTGCTTGTCATCAGGATTACACTTTTCCCTCACTTTATTGTATGTAAATTTAATATTTTAACCACCATAATGTTGGTTTTTATTCATTTACTTATTCTCCCTTTGTTGGGTACATGTGGTGATTGCAACTTGAATTACAGATTTATGCTCACTCATTGCTCTGGTTGTCCTGGCAAGAAATTGCTGAAGGTCCCACACCATACCTTTACTCAGCTGCGAAAAAATGTTTTTTTTGCTCCCCCTTATCACCGCCAAGTTTCAACAAATATGAGCAGGTGTCCCGGAAGTGTATTCATCACACCAAGATGTCTGACTCTCAGGATTCCCCTGTACTGGAGACTCCTGGTACCATGCCTGAGCCATCCAACTCGGGTGGGAAGTTGATCATGTCCACTCTTCCGACTACTGCATCCCTTGCACTGCCATCAACGCTGGGTTCCACGAATGTCTTCGACGCCTTCCCAGGCACCAATCTCTGGCCAGCTGGCTACGCCTTCCCACACTCCCATGACATCGCAGATGACCCGACAGCCCCAGTTCCCTCCTATGATACCATTAACACGGTGTTGGCAGTTTCGGAGAATCGAAAAATTACCAAGGTTCCGGAGCTGCAAGCCCTCCTGCGCTCTTTCCGCCTTGAGGATCAGAAGGCCAAGTTCCCACCACCTGCATTAGATCTGAATGTGGCTCTTCGATTCCTGCGCGGACCTCCATTCAAGCCTCTACATGCAGCTTCCATCTATAACCTCACCAAGAAAATGAACTTTCTCTTGGCTTTGACTACAGCGGCAAGGGTCAGCGAGCTGCACCCACTCAACATCTCCTAGGTCCACTTTGAGAACAGGGTGCAGGGAGCCGTTCACCATCCCACCTCTTTCATCAATTGTGGGGATTGAAGATGAGGACAAACTCCTCCTGTACCCTGTCAGGGCTTTGAAGGTTTTTATCTTCCGCCCAAGACACAGCGTGGTGCCCCCAAATGGATTTTCATGCCCGTCTCCAAGACATCCATGACGGAAGTCAGTCGCAACACCATCTCCCTGTGGTCACGCGCCATTACGAGGCATCTTGGAAAGATGCTTTTGGACAGCTGACACAGTCTTTGCAATCAACTACCTGCAGGACGTGGCCTTGGAGGACATTGAAGGCATGCACAGTCTTGGTCCTCAGGTTGGCACCCAGTAGGTCGCCATTCCCAGATGCCACTCCATCTCCAGGTGTTGGCCTTTTCCGACTCTTGCAGTGTTTGCATGCCAGACAGGGGGGCTTCATGCTACAAGCATTGGCTGGGTTAGTCAGTTTTTAGACCTTAGCATATGCTAGTTTCTATCGCTGCTTTGTACCAGTATTTCCTCATTCTCTCGTTCTTCCTTGGACAAAACCGCCTCTGTGGTCCAGTGGTAGAGCGTATGCCTGGAGAGCGGAAGGTCCGGGGTTTGATACCCTGCCGCGTCATTCTAAAAGACGTTAAAAAATGACACACACACACACGCACACGCACACGCACACGCACACACACGCACTATACAGGTGCAATAATCTTGGACGCGACGTTAAACCCAATTTCACCTCACTTCCTTGGACAGGACTGGTCCTTGGGTTGCCAATCCTTGCTAAAAGCTGCACTGGACGGATACCGGGACGTCTTTGAGGGTTCCTGAGGGTCAGATCTGAGAGCATTCCCACCTCTATACCGTCCGATACAGATGCATTAAGGAGTAATGCCGGATAAGTTAAGAAATTTAGTAAAATCTAAATATTTTTTACATCTGTATACTTATCCTGGATTACTACATCTCAGGGCCCACCCGTCGCAAGACTTGCCTACCTGAGATGTCTTCAGATGTTACGATCAAGCAGTAATGTGTAGATACATGATGTCATCACTTCCGTGGTCACAGGGGTGCTGTGTAATGTGTCTGCCTAACAACAGGTTGGAATAACTTCTTTTTCAGCTGGACCTCACACAGCTTCATTTTTCTGGCAAAGGAAAGCAGTAGATGCATAAGGAGTAATGCAGGATATGTATACAAATGTACAAAATATTTAGATTTTACTAAGTTGATGTTTCCATTGTATCTGCAGAATATAAAGATGACACATGATTTTACGTTCATGGGTTAATCCATACATTGACCATGTACACAGACCTGAAGTTATATTGAAAACTTAGAACCAACCATTCTTCATATTTTTCAAGCTTAAGATGAAATTTATTTCTTCCTTAACTCGACTCAGATACTTAATGTCTGCATCAGTTGTTGGTTTTTACAGTTTGCCATTTTTTTGCCGTCTGCAACCTAAGGTGAAGGACACACCAATGGTGAAGGTCATCGCCAACTGTATAGTGCTCCTTGTTCTCAGCTCAGCGCTTCCCATTTTGTCAAAAACTCTCGGTAAGTACCAGGGGATCTATCTTGCATGTTCAGTCAAAATTTGGGTGTGATAACATTTTTCTCGGATTGAAATCATATGACAATTACCCTTTCCTTCCTTTGGAGTCCACCGCCTCCGTGGTCTAATGGTAGACCGTCTGCCCAGAGAGCGGAAGGTCCGGGGTTTGATCCCCACACGATCATACCAAAAGACGTTAAAAGATGGCACTTGTTGTTACCCTGTCTGGCGCTCGGCATTAAGGGGATAAAACAAGGACTGGTCGGCTCGGAGTCAGTATACTGTGTCTGAGTGGGGTATTCATGTTAAACTGCGGCATGGTATCTTAGTGTGCAAGCACTATAAATCGGCATCAGTCCGGACTAGTGCAAGCAGCCACACACACACATATACACGTGCATGCACGTCGCTATATAAGTGCAATAATCTTGGACGCGACGTTAAACCCCATGTCACCTCACCTCACCTCTTTGGAGTCCCCAGCAAGCTGTGCTGGTTGTGACTTGGTTGATTGTATGTCATCATGCCCCGACAGCATGGGATGTTGCTCATCATATCAATCACTGATTTATCTGGTCCAGATTCAGTTACTTACAGTCCAATGACATATAGGTGGAATAGTGCTGAATGCAATGTTGAATAACAAACAAACAACGAAAAAAAGGGGTGATTATTTGTGTATTTGTTCATTTTGCCACACATAAGGTGTTTTTTTACAGAATATAATGCAAAGACAAGAGCTACATTTAGAATGTATAGAATTATGATTCAGACCCATAAACAAATATATCCAATAAAGCCCATGCAAGTCTATAATATTTGGCAAGTCTAGATTAATGCAGTATCAGTATCATCGGAAAAAGAAGAAAGTCTCTTAAATTGGCTCCTTTTGAATATATTTTATAACTATTATTTAACAACTTATTTTGGGGGGTTGTAAAAATGTGTTCATTTCAGAGACTAGATGTTAGTCTATGATTGATGGGAGGCAACATGTTATAAAGTTTCACCATTATTCCAGAAACACAAAGCAGCTCATACCTTTAGTTAAGTGCCTTCCTTTGTTAAGATAGCATGGTTTTGTCAGTGAGAGAAATGCCACAATTCACTACGCGGAGTTGCACCCCTTAGATATTCATAGCTGTTAGCCATCATGCTATTCATAACAGCATTGGCCTTAACTCGACGTACCTGTGAACTGATAGACAAGCAAGACAATGAACGTGTAATGCTTTTCAGGTATCACCAACTTCGACTTGATTGGAAGTTTCGGCAGCATGGACTGGCTGGGCAACTTCTACATCATCTTCCTCTACAACGTCATCTTCGCCGTCACCACTGCACTCTGCTTGTTCACAAAGTTTACAGCCACACTGCGCAGGGAAATAATTGCCAGATTGATGGCTGCTTTCAAGCGTGAGAAACGGACAATCTCTATGTCATATACCACTCAATTCGCAAATGGAAACTTGAAAGAGGAGTAAGGGAGATAACTCCCTCGAAAATCATTCATAAGTGTTGTGTACATTTTGTAAATATTGTTTTAATTTATTAAGCATATCATACAAGCTCAAGGTTTGCTTCCGGCCAAAAGATCAACTCTCAAAATGTCAGATGGACTCAGTAATTTTTATTGACATTTTCTACTAATTTTTTTTGGATGAATTGGGTTTACAGCAGGCAGACTTGGCTATGTTTTTGTGATCATCTCATTAACTGTGTCCCAGGCTGGTTATTTTGTTAGCTTAGTAGTTATTTGCAACAATGCACGATATCAGGGATGTCAACTTTTTGAACTTCACATGACATTTATCAGTGGTTTATAGTGGATTACTCACATCATCGTCTGTTTGACACAGGGTTCTATACACTCTCTTCCTTCATTACCTGTGAATTCATACATCTGTTTTGCAGTGAAGTTGCTATTTTAACTAATGAGTCAAGAAGTTGCTATTTTTAACCGACCAATCAAGCAAACGCCTGCTTCAAGCGAGCAGGAATCCAATGATTGCTCAAACTGACGAGTGCTCAGATAAAAAATGGCAATATTTGTGAGCAAAATGAGTGACAGCCTTCTTGCCATCTGCTGTACCCATTGCTTCAATATCTAGAACTATAGACACGCGTCACCAGTGCACCGCATTCTGCCGTAAGCTTTCACACGTGATGGAGGAATGTAGTGGAAACACAACCATGAAGTATTGATGGGGAAATCACTCTGAAAACTTGATTGTTACAAAACTAATGGCGTTGCCATGGATACCATTTTCTGTTACTTATCCAACTTGTTCATGTTGCTCAAAGACCTGGTAGTTAATTGATGTTACCATGAGATGCTTGCAGTCATTTGGATATCTGTTTTATTATTGTACATTGAACTATTGGGCTTGGTGGAACCTACGTGTACACACCTTACAAGGTTGCAACTTACACAGCGAGTGTGTGATAGACTTGACAGTATTAGCAATAGGTTATCTGTGCCAGTAGGCCAGTGTATGCAATAGACTGATGCATGACGGCGTCTCTGTGCCAGTGTATGCAATAGACTGATGCATGACGGGGTGTCCGTGTCGATGTATGCAATAGACTGATGTGTGATGGGGTGTCTGAGCCAGTGTATGCAACAGACTGATGCATAACGGCATCTCTGTGCCAGTGTATGCAATAGACTGATGCATGACGGGGTGTCCGTGTCGATGTATGCAATAGACTGATGTGTGATGGGGTGTCTGAGCCAGTGTATGCAACAGACTGATGCATAACGGCATCTCTGTGCCAGTGTATGCAATAGACTGATGCATGACGGGGTGTCGGTGTCGATGTATGCAATAGACTGATGTGTGATGGGGTGTCTGAGCCAGTGTATGCAACAGACTGATGCATTAAGGCGTCTCTGTGCCAGTGTATGCAACAGACTGATGCATGACGGGGTGTCCGTGTCGATGTATGCAAAAGACTGATGCATGACGGCGTCTCTGTGCCAGTGTATGCAACAGACTGATGCATGACGGCGTCTCTGTGCCAGTGTATGCAACAGACTGATGCATGACGGCGTCTCTGTGCCAGTGTATGCAACAGACTGATGCATGACGGCGTCTCTGTGCCAGTGTATGCAACAGACTGATGCATGACGGCGTCTCTGTGCCAGTGTTTGTGCCCAGTGTATAGGGCAGTGTGCTAGTTGGCATGAGATGTGTTGTGAGAGACATTTGACTTGAGATGTGTGGTGTGAGTGGCCATATGATGCAAGGTGCATTGGTTTTGCTGACGGACACATCCGTTTGCCAAACTTCTCGTTTAGATAGTTATAAGTGGAACCCTGCGAAGTCTTCACAAGGCCAGACAAAGTTATTTTCTTTTTGTTTGGACAAGCCTACACTACAATTCAAATAAATACAACTTTTGCTAGAATGATAAATATGCTTCTTAAAACCTTTTTTTAACTCTTTAACCTTAAAGAAATATGCTCAAATCAACCCTAGCAGCATTTGTGATATTTTGCCTCCTTCAACAGGGCATATTGACCAAGACAATCTGCAACAGTATATTAAATTGTTCTGTCCTAGAAACAATGCTAGATATTAATTTTATTTCACCATGGCTCCTGATCTGCAGCAAGTTGAGCCAACAAGCAGCCTATCAGTCAATGTTGCTGCTTGACACGGTGTACATCATGTTCCCCTGGAAACCAAGAACAATCGACAAACTACTCTTTGAATATTCTCAATGGAATGACAATCGTTTGTGTTTCACTTTGTGTCAAACTTTTACCATAATATATGTAATTACCAACATATGATTATTTTTGTCAGATATTTGTATTGTAAGAATTTTTTTAGCAGGGATTCAGATTAATCATGGTCTATTTTCATCATTCAAACATCACGTGGTTCCTGTACATCATCACACATACAGGGTTTCAATGTACCATGAAGTACTTATGTTTTGTAATTATTTGTGAAGACAGTCGGACTGTGACAGGAACAGGTCACTTCAGGGTCAAGATATTAATCTTTGTGTGATTTTCATATTTACAAAATACCAGCACATTAACATGTTAGTGTATTTAGGAGAGTGTTAGAAGCAAGTATTTGAAGAAGTTTGCAAGGAAATATTACCTTGGGATGTGTCTATGTTATGCTTGTCATGCTTGTACACTGAATGAAACATCTTGGACAGTGAACTTGATCTTGATGATTGTACAGATATTGTAGATATTTGAGTTAAATTGGGATGGGGTGGTGGGTGACTGATGTGTGTGAGGCGACATCACAATTACTACCAGTACTGTGCAGCATTACTTATACTATACAGGGAACATTTCAGTTGGATGAAAGCATTGAACTCATCTGTAGTAAGTTTGATATGACCACATAAAGCCATAACTTCATCCCCAGTCTGCCATTGTCGAGATGGAGTTCACTGTAGATACAAGACTTTCAATCATATTCACCAGCATTAGGTGTTATATCATTTGGACCAGTGTCAGAGATATTTGTAGCAATCGACCAGTGACAGCTGCTACAGGGATATTTTGTTACATGGAGGTCAGTGGGATTTTAATGTCTGAGGATATTGTTTGTAGCCTGTATCAGTATTATTTGAAGATGAAACATGTGAGTTTCTGTCATAAGTGTGTGGATATGTAGGGATAGAAATGGACCTCATGATTCTACAAGCCTGGACCTGTTTAACACAGCAATCTCAGCGCTAAGCTGATCGTATCTCCCATACTTTAATATAGACTTACGATCATTGTAGCTAAGATATTTTTCTGTAACAGGCCCCTGGTAGAATAACATACAAGGGCACACCCCTAAAGCCTGTATTTCCACTAGCCCTCTGTAATTCCACTACAGGGTTGCCTGTATTGAGTTTTGACAAATATGTTTTTCAGATTGAAAAAAAGGAAATACACTAAAAGATATTGTCTGTTTTGGTGTGTGTGTTTTTTAGCCTAATGAATGTGAGAAATACCTTAGCCCATCCCACCTACTTGGCCCCACCCCACCTACTTGGCCCCACTCGTGAAGACTGAACAGTCAGTATTCCCACTATACCCACTGCAGTCGTGTTGTGTGTGCCCCACTCCTTGCTTCTCACCTCCCGGGGCTTGATAACTCTTCTTGCTACCGGTTGAGAACCAATAAGGACTCACACCTAATGCCTCATAATATTGTGTTTAAACTGCAACATTTGCTGCCTATTTGTGACTGTTTCCAGGGCGTGTTGATCGTTGATTGAATTTGTTCAGATATGGGTTCCCCCCGGTGCTGGCTTAGTTCTGTAGCTGGCTGTGAAATTGACTCCCTTAGAGCCACATTACTTTTCAACAAGGGAAGTTTGCAGTAGTGTTGCTCCCGGGATGGTGTGAAGCACATGGAGAGTTGTACAACCACGCGATGCTGCCCACGAACAGCCCTTGATCATGCGGGCGCATCTAGAACCTGTGTGCATGTGGTTTTGCTACTATTGCTTTTTATCCTCATAGCCAAAGATAGTGTTTTTCTGTGATATTTCTGAAAAAAATCCAGTGAGATCTTCTATATGGTTAACGTGTGAGTTTTGTAATTGTGTGATCAGCCCCAGAATGTTGCTGTATGTGTACTGAATCTATGTACTTTGTATGTGTGTGTAACAAGTTGGCGCAGCCACATGAACTCTGTGACTATACTCAAACCTATTAGAAACGCAACATTTTGTTAACCCTGCATGTAACAGTGGCAGCAGGCTAGTTGAGTTGGATAACTGTTACATCTACGTATTAACTGATATGTGTGTAGGTGTCAGTGTGATATTGTGTGATGAGTAGACATGTGTGTCTAGAGAATGTCAATGTGAGTAATGGGATGTCAGCTGTAGATGTATGTGGTGGTAGCGTGTGTTTAGCCTGGTGTGTGTCTACACGAACAGTGTGAGTAATGTGTATAGATATTTATAGATATTTATATGTACACAGTGAGTGTAGTGTGGTGTGTAAGTGTGTGTGTGCTATGTGATACTGTGAGTAATGTGTGTAGATGTGTGTACACTGAGTGTAGTGTAAAGTGTAAGTGTGTGTGTGCTATGTGATACTGTGAGTAATGTGTGTAGATGTGTGTACACTGAGTGTAGTGTGGTGTGTAAGTGTGTGTGTGCTATGTGATACTGTGAGTAATGTGTGTAGATGTGTGTACACTGAGTGTAGTGTTAAGTGTATGTGTTTGTGTGCTATGTGATACTGTGAGTAATGTGTGTAGATGTGTGTACACTGAGTGTAGTGTTAAGTGTATGTGTGTGTGCTATGTGATACTGTGAGTAATGTGTGTAGATGTGTGTACACTGAGTGTAGTGTAAAGTGTGTGTGTGTGTGTGATATTGTGTGTAGATGTGTGTACACTGAGTGTAGTGTAAAGTGTGTGTGTGTGTGATACTGTGTGTAGATGTGTGTACACAGTGAATGTAGTGTGGTCTGTAGGTGTGTGCGTTCACAATATGTGTCGTGTGGTGTGTAGATGTGTGTGTGTGTGATACTGTGTGTAGATGTGTGTACACTGAGTGTAGTGTAAAGTGTGTGTGTGTGTGTGTGTGTGATACTGTGTGTACACAGGGAATGTAGTGTGGTCTGTAGGTGTGCATTCACAATATGTGTCGTGTGGTGTGTAGATGTGTGTGTTCTATGTGATACTGTGGGTAATGTGTGTTCACAGTGTGTGTAGTGTGGTGTTTAAATGTGTATCCAAGTGTTCTCTTTGATGAAGTCCTTGTAGTCTCCATGTGCGTGATGAGTGTGTGACCACATCTGTGTATAATGGTGCCAGTTTTTTTAGACAAGTTAGTGGAACTCGTCAACAGGTTTCGTACATTACTATGCTAATGTTCAGTTATCCTTTGCTTTCCTGCTTTGACAATGCAAATGAGCATGCAGTGCTCTGCTTATTTTCAGGTGCAATAGATAGATGTTTTCTCAGTGCCAGCTGCATTTCCCAGTTGTAAAGTATACATGCCAAAGTAGATAGTTGTCCTTCCCCAGTCCGTCTGGTGGTGCTGCACCAGGTGGCTATCATGGGACAGGCTGCGCATAGCTTGTGTTTGTCTGACACAGCCTCCTCCATCGTAGCATTATAAGTCGCATGGTTCTCTACCCACTCTACCCATACACCATGTCACCACTGACACCACCAGGTCGGTTCATGTTTCCTACCTCCTGAAACCCTTGCACTTAGGAGTTGTCTCCCTTATATCAGTTTGCTCAAGGAATGTAACAACTCCAGTGCATGTACAAAGTAAAAATCTGTATTTATGTAGACTTTAGGTTGAATTGGAAGCAATGTAATGGTACCGGCCATCTCCCATTGCATCAGTGAGTCATGATTGAGCCCCTTGCAAGCCAAGTACCAATGACCTTTTACAAGAGTCCACTGCTTGGTTTCTTATCATTATTTTAGCTTGTTATTTGTTAGTCCTACTCCTTGAATTCCATCTTTGTTTTAAATATTGCTTTGCCAGTGCTATTAGTCCTGTGCATACCTTATTCAACCCAATATGTGTGCCATGCTTTGAAGTTAGTGAAAGACAAAAGGTGCTATTAGGGATATGATGAATTCTCACCATATTGCAATTGGTGCATTGATATACTACTCAAAAGAAGTTAAGGATCATGGATTCTTTCATATTACAATTGTTAATCTGCCCTGAAATGAGAGATTACCTGTAGTAATATGAAAGAATCGGGTGATCCTTAACTTCTTTTGAGTAGTATACATATATCCTGTAGGAACACTTATTGGGTTGAATATGGTAGGATGTTTGTTCCAGTTTGATGTAAATTTTGTTTTAAAGCAATGTTATTCAAAGTTAATGTTAAAAATATGTGCAATGTAGAGAGAATTCTGTGTAATTAGTTTAGTATGTTGTCAGGGTCAGGGGTCGGTCTGACATGTGACCGACTCAGACCCTCGAGATGCCCCTTGGCCAGTTTGTGTCTGTCTGTCAAGATGTCTGTCTGATGACTTTGACTCATCTGTGGTATGAATAGTCAAATGTTTAGACCGTGGCTTTGCTTTTTGGTTTCAGTGTAAGTACCATAAACTTCAGTTCAACTACTTTCGTAGTTGCTGCTATTGTATTATTTCATGTGAAATGTCTTATTTTTGCCAGATTCTTTTTAGTGCAGTGCTCTTATGGACCATTTAAACCTATCACATAAAACACTCTCCTCCTACACTACTGATTAACCCAGAAAAAACAAACATTAATCAAAGGCACAAGCAAGAAATCATTCCAAATATGGATCAGTTTCTTTTGTTTCAGATGGCAGGGTTCTTGTTTTTACAACTAAGTGGGGACCACTTTATTTTCTTAAATTTGACACACTGAAAGTTGTAGACGCCTCTTGTCTAGTCAATAGCTGTAAGGGCAGCCTAGTAAATAATCTACATCATTAAACCTACCTCAGAATAGATTCTTACTCCAAACTGCCCTAGCATTTCCAGGCCATCTCGTCCCTCTCTGTCCAACACAATCAGGCCGTCTCTCTCTGTCCAACACAATCAGTCCAACTCCAGGCCATCTCTACTCCAGGCCATCTCTACTCCAGGCCATCTCTCTCTGTCCAACACGATCAGGCCATCTCTCTGTCCACCTCAAGGCCATCTCTACTCCAGGCCATCTCTCTCTGTCCAACACGATCAGGCCATCTCTACTCCAGGCCATCTCTACTCCAGGCCGTCTCTCTCTGTCCAACACGATCAGGCCATCTCTCTGTCCACCTCAAGGCCATCTCTACTCCAGGCCATCTCTCTCTCTGTCCAACACCAGGCCGTCTCTCTGTCCACCTCAAGGCCATCTCTACTCTAGGCCATCTCTCTCTCTGTCCAACACCAGGCCATCTCTACTCCAGGCCGTCTCTCTGTCCAACTCCAGGCTAAACTTCCATGAGCCCAGAGTATCCATTACACTAGTATTATATTCATTTCACTGTCATCTTTTGTTCTTAATTAAGCTAATGTTTAACATATATCATTAGCTATGTGTATCCTGTGTTTATAGTTTCTTCTGTATCGGTTTTATTTTTATATGATTTATAAGATTTCTTATCATGATTACACAAGCATTGTGGCATGGCATGACAAGACACCAGCACACCAGAAATAGACATTTGCACAACCAAGCATTATCAATCAGTATACAGTTATATTGACAAACAATATTTTATGTGTATGGTTATTATTCTTCTATAAGATACTAATTTCTTAATAACATTTACAGTAGATGTTATTCTAAGCCCCAGGATAGAATTATATTTGGTGTATATATTCAATCAGTGGTTGTAGATGGTTCAGACCAGCTTTGCTTGTATTGGGCTGCAGATTGATATAAATAACAAGCTTGTTTTCCACATTACATGTAATCTGTATGTTAGATGGTATTATACATTAGCCCTGTCAGCAAGCCATCAAGTAGTCCTGGCATGAAGAATGTTCTCAGGAGGTGTGAGTAATGGGAGGTCTAGCTGAAGAACGTTCTCAGGAGGTGTGAGTAATGGGAGGTCTAGCTGAAGAACGTTCTCAGGAGGTGTGAGTAATGGGAGGTCTAGCTGAAGAACGTTCTCAGGAGGTGTGAGTAATGGGAGGTCTAGCTGAAGAATGTGCTCAGGAGGTGTGAGTAATGGGAGGTCTAGCTGAAGAACGTTCTCAGGAGGTGTGAGTAATGGGAGGTCTAGCTGAAGAATGTGCTCAGGAGGTGTGAGTAATGGGAGGTCTAGCTGAAGAACGTTCTCAGGAGGTGTGAGTAAAGGGAGGTCTAGCTGAAGAATGTTCTCAGGAGGTGTGAGTAAAGGGAGGTCTAGCTGAAGAACATTCTCAGGAGGTGTGAGTAATGGGAGGTCTAGCTGAAGAATGTTCTCAGGAGTTGTGAGTAATGGGAGGTCTAGCTGAAGAATGTTCTCAGGAGGTGTGAGTAATGGGAGGTCTAGCTGAAGAACGTTCTCAGGAGGTGTGAGTAATGGGAGGTCTAGCTGAAGAACGTTCTCAGGAGGTGTGAGTAATGGGAGGTCTAGCTGAAGAATGTTCTCAGGAGGTGTGAGTAATGGGAGGTCTAGCTGAAGAATGTTCTCAGGAGGTGTGAGAAATGGGAGGTCTAGCTGGAGAATGTTCTCAGGAGGTCTGGGATATCTTGGCGTGTAGGGAGGTCCAGTTAACAATTATCTTTTCAAACTTGAGTACACACGATTATTATGTTTTAGAGATCTTCCCCCCTCAGAGGATGGGGGAAGGGTTGTGTAGGGGTGCTCATTAAAAAAATTGTTTTCAGTGATTGGACAGTATTGCTCATACCAGTAGTTAAAATGCACCAGAAAATATTGGTCTCGTATGGGGATGTTATTAATATTACTTACAGGTTGGCCTTGAAATTTGTCAGGGGTGCTTATTGACCTGAATATGGTAAGTGGATATCATTTTAAAGGTTTGTTTGTGCAGTGTTTTTGTGCAATATTTCTGTTTAGACATGCACAAAACCTCATCCCTCTGTCCACATTAAGTACAGTCAGCCTGAGCGAAGTACATTCTAAACACTAATGATAAAATGTCCAGAGGACTATTAGAATGCCAAAACAAAGATATTTGTATCCATGTGAAAGACAGTCAAACAACGCTGTGTTGAAGTTGAAGGTAAGTACTTCGAGTTATCATAGGTTCGTCATAACCGACAATGATGAATAAAGAATGAATACGCAGGGATCAAGCTTTTACTTCGAGACAACCATAAGGTCAACACTTCAAAGTTCAACACAGCGGTGTTTGGCTGTATATCTGATATACATGTAAATTAGTGTTTTCAAAGTCCTTGGACCATGGTGTAGGTTCAGCAATTTTTATTGTCATAATATTTAGTGATGTTTTCCACATTGCCAGACAATTAGAAAAACTGGTCATGTTGATTTTTTCTTCCAAACTAAACAAGTGGTTCCTGTTAGACACCACCTGGCCACTACAGCGGCATAGGGATACTGATCTCATGCTGTGGAAAAGTCGCTGATGAAAATCCCGTCAATGTATTATGTCAGATGTTCTCACTGATGTTTTTCACATATCTCTTCTGT